AATTATGAAAAATTTGTGTAAATGAAGGAAATTGTAATTATCGAATATTGTATGGTGTTGTTCTGCCAACCAGGTTGTGGTGGATCTCTAATGTTGACCTTACTTTCGACAATTACCGTCTAAAGGAGGTCTGAAAGGGGATTGCGGTTATATTACCCTAATTTCACGCGTACAAGGCGCGGGGTGGTCCTAGCTTTCATCGACCAGCCCGAACACGGCAAAGGACTTCGCAATCAAAGGAATCCCATACCGTGCTGCGTTTTGCCTGACGAATCATGCGGCATAAGGATCGCTTCTTTAAACACGTTGGGGCGGCTGAGCAGCTGGATGAAAGCTAGGACCACCACGCGCCTTGTACACGTGAAATTAGGGTATCTGTTAGTTTTTACGATCAAACGCCTTGTCAGGCTTCCGTCGTTTGAACCTTGTCGAGGCGCAACGTGCCGAGAAACAATCCAAAATGGACTCACCAACCTCTAGTCCACCATGGAGTCAGTAGTCCGCACGAATGTGACGGACATTACTGAGGTTGCTTAGTGAGTCTTGGACTATATATATTGTGCGGTTCAAGGTCTAGTGTTATGAGAGGCAAGAGATCGGCCGACGGCCGTTATTGTCACTGTTCACTTTTATTGTCCACTAGCTGGCTTTCACGGTCTAGCCCGGGCCACGCCAGCCGACCCTTGCTCCAGCCCCCTCCCCCCCCCCATCCTCCTCTCCTTCCCACCTAGTCATTATGCTGCGTACAGGGGGTTTCTGTGTCAAAGTCACTTACCCGCTGAAGGCTCGTCTTGAATCACCGCATCCTTTTGCCGAGCTTGAAGTATCATTTTGTAGAGCGAGGATAAACTTAAATTTACAGTATTAAGCAAAGCTCCAATCTCTTTTTGCTACTGTAGGATTACGGTATGAACTTTCAGCATGCAGCATCATTGTGGGATAAGCCTTTTGATGGGATAATTTCAAAAAAATCTAAAAAATTGTGTAGCAAGGTTTTCAGGCGTGCTGATTTCACTACGTAACTTTCCATCAGTTTTTCGAGTATTCTTGGGCGTATTCTCATTTCTGCTGAACACTGGAAAATCACTGTTACCCTAAATCTGAATTAACTCGTGAAAGAAACTTGTACTGACGTGCAGTTTTCATATCTAGAATCAGCGACTATGATTAACCCAGTTCAAGAGTTTCTGGCTTATTTGGCTTTTTTCTGGAGCAAAATACAGCTTTCCATTGCTGAAAATCCTCCTCGAAATTCCTACCGTAATTCTACAGTAGTGAAAAGCGGCTGGTAAGTCCCTCCATACTGTAAATCTATGTTTATCCTCGCTCTACTGAATGGTACCTCAAGCTCGGCAAAAGACATGAAAGCAAGAAAGTTATTAACAATCAAACAGTGTGCACATCTTGTTGGGACCCCTGTATATAGATTCCCGGACTTCCGGCGTGTATTCACGCGACCTCCAGTAACTTTCGTGCCGAAATTTCAACTTCATGCCCTAGAATTGCACACTTCACATTGAAATCACTCCCATCGTGTGCCTCGTTCTTATGTTTGCCTAACGGTGATGACAGATTTCCTCGTCTTTTGTTAACCGGGTGTTCTTTTATTGTAACACTTAGACTTCTTCCTGTCTTTCCTATATACGACGTGCTACAGTCCAGGCATTCCAACTGATAAACAGTCCCTTCTTTCGCGCAATCACTTAGTTTCCCGTAAGGGCAAACGATTCATTATTCTGATTACAAGCTACGTCATACAATCTATTTCTGATCAACCGCTTTCTGAGGAGTAGGAATGTTGACCAGCATTACCTCATTATCCAACCGTGCTCGCAGTATACATCGGTTTACTGCTTTACTGAAACTGTCGGAGACAAATGGCATACATAGAGGGAGTCGTGTCTAGTCTTGTTGTCAATGGCTACAATGGCTACAGTGGATAGTAATGGCTACACTTCTGCGCAGTCTCGTCGGCGAACATCCGGACGACTCGCAATTCGTAATCCTATGCGAAGCAATAACAATGACAACGCCACTAATAAATCGTACTAACCTCGCAACGGCTTACTAACATACTAACCACATTATTAATGACAACTCCCTCTATGATGCTACAGTGCCGGACATAATTATAAAGAACTTTAGAAATCGTCGTAATTTTCGTTCTTGTCAATGAATTTGTCTGAAACTTTGCTGTTTTGTGCGCGTGTCAACCTTCCATAAACTCAAAACGGCTTCCAATCTTGTTGAGTTTGAACGGAGAAAAACGAAAAAAATCGAAAAATCCTCTTTGAAAGCTGGACAAAATTATAAAGACACCTGGTTTTTCTAATCACTATCGCTTTCGTTGACTCTCAAATTTTTTTGTACAATTACATCCTAAAATATGAAACATTTGCAACATCTGCGACCTGTTCTCCTTTTCGCAGAAAAAGGCTCACTGCATTTTTTCCTTTCAAAAGCAACAAAAGTCAATTTGCTTTAACGAACACTGGTTTGAAGAGTTTTCAAGCTCTTGTTCTTTTCAAATGATGGTCATGGAATCTGCTGACCCTTCTGAATAGATGAGATGAAGAGCGCTTTCGTAAACTTTGCGTAATCGCTGATTTTGACGGACAGACTCCAACCTAACCATAGGGTTGACGCAGTTTTGCACCACAAGACTCGACATTCAAGCGGGAAACTAAGTGATTGAGCGAAAGAAGGGACTGTTTATCAGTTGGAATGCCTGGACTGCAGGACGTCGTATATAGGGGAGACGGGAAGAAGTCTAAGTGTTACAATAAAAGAACACCTGGTTAACAAAAAACGAGGAAGTCTGTCATCACCGTTAGGCAAACATAAGATCGAGGCACACGATGGGAGTGACTTCAATGTGAAGTGTGCAATTCTAAAGCATAAGGTTGAAATTTCGGCACGAAAGTTACTAGAGGTTGCGTGGATATACGCCAAAAATCTGGGAATGGACAGTAAAAATGAACGCGTGACAGTAACGGTCGATCTCTTACCTCTCATGTCACTAGACCTTGAACCGCACAATATATATAGTCCAAGACTCACTGAGCAACCTCAATGATGTCCGTCACATTCGTGCGGACTACTGACTGACTCCATGGTGGACTAGAGGTTGGTGAGTCCATTTTGGTTTGTTTTTCGGCACGTTGCGCCTCGAGAACGTCCAAACGACGGAAGCCTGACGAGGCGTTTGATCGTAAAGACTAACAGATAATATAACCGCAATCCCCTTTCAAACCTCCGAAGAAGACGGTAATTGTCGATAGTAAGGTCAACATTAAAGATCCACCACAAAACCTGGTTGGCAGAACAACACTATACAATATTCGATACATCATGCTCGGGTTTGAAGAAGAGAGTAGGTGGAAGTTGTGTTTTTTCGATTTAGGTTGCTCCCGCGCAACCTGGGAGTACCCCGAGGTTGCGCGAGACCAAACAATGTTATAATTTACCCACTTCTTCACATGGTTTTTCGAAATTTTTTACATTACGGGTTTCTTTGACCCAAGTTTCGATCTTACTGCTTTTCTACGGCACTTAACGATACAAAAACCTTCTTCTTCTTCGCCTCTGTTGTTTTATCTCCGATTTTCTGCTTTTTTAGTTTAATCCACTCATCGTTCGCTGCGGATTATAAGCCTTACTTCCACAGATCCACAAAAGCTTATTTTTAAATTTCCGCATTGTCAAAGAGGAGTTCGTTTCTAAGATTCCCAAATGCCACCTTGTGTTGAGCCCTGATCTAGGCCCATCATATAAAATTTATGCGGATCCGATGCGTTAATGCTACAGAAATTGTGCGTCAAACGGATCCACACGGCTTTAAGCCGGCAGAGCTGAGTTCATGTTCGGATTTTTTGCAAAGCCATGATGTGCCTGATAAGTGGCAAGTACCTGACAAGTATTGGCGCTAAATGACTTCTAACCTTGAAGAGCGTTTGAAAAGTTTGCTCTTCTGCGAAAACAGAGCCAAAAGCAGTGATCGCGCCAATAGTCGATTTGGCAAGGTTTTACCTAACAATTTTTTTGCAGGGAAATGTAGCCCAAATGACTACCATCCTCAAAGCGACTAAAAAGCTAAAACTATTTCAGCAATCCATTCAAATTCGCAAATGTTCCTCAGCAAAAAAGTTTTATTCCTCAAAATTACCGATCTTACGTGGTGCTTCAAAAATGAACAGTTGTTTACAAATCATTTGTGGTGTTTACTATGGCATGGTGAGTAAAATTATCTTTATGCGAACATGAGAAAGGCATACGGATAGGAAAGCCAGTGCGAACCTCCGCGGAGCGAAGATGAAGCACTGATTGCAAATAGTTGATAGAATCAGTGAAAGTAATGTCTTTCTTACAAAGGTCATTTTATTCGTGATTAGCATGCTCACTTACCCCTGTACCAACTCCCAGCCCCGTAGCTCAAAGTTTGGAATTAGCAAATCTAGAAACCCATGCTGTATTCGTGTCAGCATGCTGCTCACTTCCCCCCCCCCCCTGTGCCACCTCCCAGCCTGCAGCTTAAACATTGCAAATAATCGATAAAATCGATAGGTAGTGATGGAGATTCCCACAGCCGCTCATTCCTTATAATGAGCCTCCAGTGTAACGAGATGTGTAAGCGAGTGGATAACTGTTACGATTTTGCCCGACTTTCGTTTCATCACATGCTACAATTTCGACATACTTAGCATGCGCTTCCATACTTCAAGGAGCAGCAATTGTGACATCAGAGCGCACCCTGCGTGTCATGATACTCTCTCGTCGCTCTTCGATTTCTGCGTTCTCTTCTCCTCACCAATACACCGCCTCTTGCTCCAGAGTTCAAAGGGGGGGGGTCTGCAAAGGCTCCTTTTCAAAAGGCGCTATGACCATGGGCAAAGGCGGAGCAATCCGTCGCGTTTTTTTGGTTTCGGGTTTATAATGTAGAATGTATTACCGGAGCTGTCAGCAAACAAAATTTGGTAAATTGACTATATGTGCAAGTTTGCAATTTTATTGCTGAAAAACTATACAGGTGCTTCTCATGCTTTAAGTTGTTTCGTTCACATGTTGTTTTCATACATAACGATGATGTTGTAGCAAGCACGATACGGGATAAATCAAAATACAAAAATTGTCAGAGCAACCGCGAGGTTAACGGCACTGAAAAGAACGCTTGATATAGGAAGTTAGATTACCTATTGCTTACCTTATGTAGCCGGGCGTTAGCTTTTTCCTTTGTTTCAATCGTAAATCTTCAGCCTCTATGATATCACGATCTTCTTCAGCATCTGAATATCTCTCATTCACCGAACAGTGAGAATGAAGGGGGCACATTCATTAGGCCAGCGAAAGTGCAGTATGTTTATTTACAAATGACAAGTCATGTACAAGATGTACAAGATGTTCCAAAAGTATGTACCCGTGTTTGAAAAATTCCCTCTATTTCTTTGCAGACTGGGAACAATTGGTAGGGCAGACTTCGACCTAGATTTAAAGTACAGAAGAAATGATCAATAGGCATTGTTGGAAGATAACGTTAATAATCTTAGGAATTACGCCACTGTAAATTCGTTACAATGAAAAATTCGAAGAAATTGGAAAGTTGCGTAGCAGAGTTTTGTCGCCCTCTGATTTCACTACTCATTGATTCTGCAAATCTTTTCAAGTGGTGTGATTTAATCAGTGTTTTAAGAAACGTCAAAAGAATATGTTGCCACGGTATACCTGACTTAACATAGTCAAGCATTTTCCAGTGTAAACAAAGAAATACTAGATAATCAGAATTTTGATAAAAGGCTGGATCTGGACCGATGGTTGTCGCATGTATTGATTTTTTTGCCATTAACATGCTTGCCATGTTGACATGAATATTGAGCAAAGCGAATTTTCCGTAAGTTCATAAAAAGGCGAACACTCAAAGATAAGAGAGCAAACTGCCGGAGATTATTGGTAGATTACACAAAACATTGTGAAAACGCGGCGCATGCGACGATTTCTCAGTAAATTTATATGGAGGGACGCAGGAATCTAGCACCTTTATTCGCACTAGCATTTACACTCCAGAAGGCCAATCGCATCCTCGCGCAAAAGTCAAGCCCGCCATCGCTCTACTCTTTCACGGGTCTCATTCGGAGCCTGCGAGGTGCGGGAATAGCAGAGACAAATGCGAAAATTTGTGAAAAGTCATCCTTGCAAGGGAAATCCCCTTTTTATTGCATTTACAAATAAAGGCACATTGTCATACCTGAGAAGGCCTTACAGTACTCAAAGTAAGCATCGAGTGATATTTTTGGTACAGAGAAGGTAATTTTATCTGCGAAGGTATTTTTTACTTTTGTCTCTACATTGCCAGTGATGAAAGCTTGCCACGTACGGAACATTGCTTTGAACGTCCCAAAATTCCCGGAGGATAACTATTGGCACTTTGATACTAAACAATACCAAACTCAAAATTACGAATTCGGCAATCTTTGAAAGCCTGCTTCTCTGTGGATAATTAACGAGGAGTTGCTTTGGGGTAGCTACTTGAAACGCAATACACACTTCTTTTCGAACAAGCCATGAATTAGGTTTAGATTTTATGTTACGGAACTTCCTCTGGTCTACGCGAGAACTTGTGCATCGATCTAATAAGTACAGCAGGTTGGGTAGAGTTTTGGCATGCAGATAGAATCTACAGAAGTTCAGCCTGAATTAATTAATTAATTAACCCTGAATTTTCTTGCAAAAGTAGTACCAAACCTCTCCTAAAATGGATCTTTCTTATCGTTCATTATCATATACACCCAACATAAATTAGTACAATTTTAGTGACTTCTGATGTTGAGCACTCATTCAAATTCTATGAAAAAACCGTTGTATGATAGGAAGCTCAATTTTTTCGGTTGTAACATGCATCTTGCTCTAAAACAGGTCGCATTAAGTCATATTTCGCATACTCCATACAATTCTGTGATTCTGTATTTTTTGATTTGCATCGAATTTGAGCCATACGAAGTTGTAACCAAAACTAGAAAAATACTACTGCCAGAAAAATCGAAAAAACCCGAAAGTCCTTCAGAAAACATTTGGGACACCTGCATCTTGCTCAATAGTTATACTTGCGACCAAACGTACACTTGTACACTTATTTCGGCTGAGAGTCGAAAAACGGAATTTTCCTTACTCTTCCGACCATGCCATGCCCATACCAAAGTCTAATGGTCAAAAGATTTCTCAGCAGTAAATTTCTCGTTCCTATATTGCAAAGGTAACATGCCCCAAATAATAGATCTCATAAACTCTAGTCTGCCACTCCCATCCATTATTAATCTTCCAGAACATTGAGAAGTATCCTCCAAACCTGCGCACAACTCGTAATGAGATTAGCCAGTGGGGGGGGGGGTAAAGGAGCGGAGCCGTCTGAAAAGTGCGAGGGCGCCTGAAACCAAATACCCCTGCAAGGAAAGGAGGCGAGGCTTTGGGAACTCCTGGGCCGCCGCCGGTTTATATAAATGCTGATGGGAACAATTGGAAATGGAGTTGTGAAAGTCAGGTGGCTAGAGCAACGAGGCACAAAGTGTTTTTTGAGCTACGTTTCCCTTTCTGGTGGAGATGTTGATGTACGCGGCCCACAAATATGAGGAGTCAGGAGTAGAGTAGGTTTAAACGCTTGCAGTTTCTTTATGGGAGCTGCGGGTAGAGTATTGGTTTGGACGCATTAGATAAGCACTCTTCGCTTTGATCTCCTTTCGCGCTTTAACTGCGTACTCGCACGTGACAGAAAGACTCTGCATTCAAAAAGCAGATGTTGAGAATTTATTTGGACAGCAGAGCCCCAAATTTTGAAAGCAAACTCTGTGCATAAATGGGCCCCTTCTCCACTCATCTTGTTTCAAGTGGTGGGTCTCTGTCTTTGATCTTTGAAAAATTATGCTGAGTTTGGAGCAAAAATTACCTTGCATTTTCTGGCTTTGAACCTCGAATGCTACATCTGATTCACCAATATAAGCTGCATCGTCAACCCTTTCAAGATCTGGAAATGCAGTTGGATTGTATGTTTATAGAGTTAAGTAACACAAGCTTTTTCCCAATCTGCTGTATGTTCGAAAAGATGTAAATATCGAAATTGGATAGAGTTTGTTTGAAAACGAAGCTATTAGGCTGTAAATGAAGTTTCCGGGCACTTTCGGAAATTTCATTCTCAAATACATTCTTTCGGCGCTCGGTCGGATTCTGAAACCAACTTTTTTATACTGTTCGGTAGTTTTCAAAACGGACGGCCTCTGATTTTTATCGATGTCAAGACGTGTTTGACCTGCACATCAAAAAAACCTTTCCAACTATAAAAATTTCACAATTTTTCTTCTCGTGGCCATTTTTTGTGCAGTTCAGAGAATTTCATGCAAATTATGGGTGATCTGATTGGGGAGCTTGTTAGTTTCCAACCGGCAGCTGCACTCGAGTTTTGCGGTCTGCGCTCAGGAATTACAAGCTGTCAAACTTGCCTCTGACTGCAACTCCTTTTGCAGTTGGCGTTTTCTGCGGCGATCACCACGCCTTGATGATGGGTCCAAAAGATGTGTAGGCATTACCCCAACAATGTTCGAAGTGATCAAAGATTTGGTCTACCCTGTGCAGAACGAGGAGACCTCAAAGTAACTTCCGCGAAAAATGAGGCATTTTTGGGGGCAAAAAATGGTCAATTTTTTCAAATTTTCTGGAAAAATTTTTTTTGCAGGCGGCCCCTTAAAGACATATATGGCCCTCGTAACAGCCTCAACAGACTTCTATATAACTACAGCGTCTGGTCTTCAGCTTTCATTATGCCTGAGATAATCCTGCACAGATAGGCCACTTTTCGCGACGACCTTTTTCCCTTCTGCTCATGCCGGTGGAACGCAGTGAGGTGCTGGAAAGCCAGCAAGAAAAAAACATATTGTGTACAAAAATGTCTTTGCAATGAATTTTGTAGCTTCAATTAAAAATCAATCTCCTTGAAGTTACAGCGATTTGAGGAAAAATTTTCGCAAGTGCCCGGAAACTTTCTTTACAACCTAATACATTTTACGGGACTACACTACAGAAGTTGCCTTGAAAGCTATGACTATACTACAGAAGTTTCCTTGAATCTTCTCATCCCATCGTGGATCAGTTGTCACGTATCCCGTGTGAAGGATATGCTTGGAAAGTAAGATTTTACAGAATATCCGTTTTATGGCAATTTGAGGAACTATCGCTAGTGTCAATTTTGTGTTTGCTCTAACTTACGCTGTTAATCTGTACTCAATCAAGTCCATTCCCAGTTTTTCTCAGCGTGAAAGCAAAAACAAATTCTCGAAATTTCGGAATTGCTATGGTGGCATTTAGCTTCGGTGTAGGCACAAATCCGAAAGCCTTGATCAAACAGGCTTTGAAAAGGTCTTACCCTCCACTTACTTAAGATAAGCTCTTTTGAGCTTATGTAGTACTCGTTGACGTCGCTCTTACAAAGAATAACGGCGCAAAAACTTTACAAGCTCACTATTGATGTGTGTGTAATCGAAGTGGTCATTGCAGAGAAAATCTGAACATTCAAAGACCCGACGCTGGTTTTGACGTATCTGTTGTGCCTTTATGGCTGTGTACTTATAAACACTTTTAGGGCCACATGCATTAACATCCCCGCCGGGGAGGGGTTCACTGCCTCGGAAGAAAGCTTCATATCCTGAAAGTTCAGATATCTGAATTTCACGCTATCTACCTATCAGTAAGTATTCCCATCATCCTTCAATATGAACATATTGAACAGAAGCGAGAAGCTGTACAAGCCCCATTTTCCACCTTTTTGTTGATCCCCTGAAGATCCCCGGCTGCCGACTGTCATTTCTTCAAAATCATTTTCCTTCCTTCAAAGTTAACGAAAACCTTCCAGAGTTGTACTCTTCGTCTAACACAACAGTGCTAAGCATGTTGCTGATAAAAACAAATGAGTTTTTGAAATACCAATTTTTTTCGACACACCCCAACTTCCGAATTGTGGTTCATTACAAATTTCATGACTTCAAAACATTATTTGATCTTACTAAAACATGATTAGCACGTTGGGTTAGATAAGCAACACAACTTGCAACACAACGGAATAATTTTTGTTGACTTCGAAGAAAGAAAAATGACTTAGAAAAAAGATGGTCGGCAGCTGGGGATCATCAGGGGATCAAACAAAAAGCTGAAAATTGCGGCTTCAGCTTCTTGCTCTCGTTCAAGATGTTCTTAGTGAAGGATTGTCGGAGTACTTACGGATAGGTAACAACATGAAATCCAGATATCTGGAGCTTCAGTATATGAAACTTCCTTTTGAAGCTGCGATCCCTTCTCGGCAGAGATGTAAGTGCATTCGGCCCTTAGAGGAAAAGAAATTAGGGGGCAGGATCTCAAAAAAAAAAGCACAATGACCGTCAATCTCGACTCTTTTGTAACAACTCACACTCATCATCGCATGAGTGCTTTAAATATAATTTTGCATGTGTATAATAACATTGGCTCATTCAAGCGTTTGTGAATAAATTTACAACTGCGCAATCAATGTCTCGACCCAAAAGGATGATTTGACATTGAAGGCACACAGCACCGAGAACAGGTTTGGAGTCAGCATTTGATGCTTTCCAAAGTATAGCAATTATCTAGAAAAGCCACGTCGACCAAAAGCTTTTCTCGCTAGTATATATGCTTATTTGGAGGAAATCAGCTTCCTTCGTATTTAACACAGCAAAGTGTGAACCAAATCTGTTGAACATACTTGACCATATCTATCTACCTAGCTACTCGTATGTTACTAGTTTGGCAAAACATTAGGCCGGTCTAGCGACAACTACAGTCGAATCATTTCACATGATCATGTGTGCATTGTACACAATTTCTATCTTTTGCGTCCTCATTCTGAATTTGCAATTGCAAAACGCAAGAGTTCAGCCGATTATTGTCGCCAACATCACTTTGAGGTGGGTAGTATTTAAGGTCCAATCCCATAATTGGTCAATTTTTACTTCAATGCAAAGGGTATGCATCCTGAGCATTCGAGCTCACGGAGTAATATTATAATTATTATTATAGAGAATAATATTATAAATATTATTCTAGAACGCGCCAAAAGCTGTACCCAAAATTTTGGTGTATATTTCAAAGCGGCAAACGCTTATTTGCATTACTTTGTGTCAAATGATTTTTCAAACTTTCTAAATGTGAAGATCTTCCAGTTCTTAGTGCTTCACATATACGGCTTCTCAAGAGTAAAAACTTTCGGGGAAAATATTCAAAAGCTAGTAGGAGATGCCCAAAAACAATTACTGTATTGCACATTGTTTATTCAATCAGTTCTCTGTTAGAGCTTTCCCAAAAATTTAGAATGAAAACTGAAAGGATAAGCCAACAGGTACGAAACTATGGCACTGCTTCTGTGCTCATAAGAGACAGTCCAAGAACATAACTACTAAAAAGAAAAGGAGGAAAGAGTCGAATTTTGTTTGAGACGTTCGGCTACCTTCATTTTACGTGTTTCTGATGAGTCGAGAAAACGATAAGAACTTTAAGAACGACTAATATCAAGTTGACATAAGAAGCCTGCACCAAATTTTTTTGAACTCGTAATGATTTTCATTTTCAATTAATGTTTATTTTGATACTTTTTAGCTTGGGAACCATTTGCTTTCTAGTGTTGCTAAGATCAAAATTGTCGGCATCTACGGCATATGGCGGCGATACAAGCTGTTAAATCACTTACACTGCACTCCTCAAAAGCTAGTCAAAATGCTAAATGGCGCAGTGCAATTTTAATCTAATTTTAGTTTTGATTTTCTATAAAATTTCCGGTAATTTTATGGTCCGCTTATGTTTGTGATTTATGTTTTTCTTACTCGACTCATTAATTATTTGAAAATGTCTCATATGTGTAATTGGAACAGCGCATTCATCACACATGATAAATAGCATATTCGCGTCAATCTCCAACATTTTCAAAATTGATTTTGATCTGAATTTCTCTGAGTACAAATATATTAGGTCGTTCCGAAAGTTCTTTTCGTTTTTTCAACCTATCATAAAAACACGTGGAATGAAGCTAGGGGAAAGCTTCAGGCATTATCCGATGCAGCTTTCTTCCTCTTTTCAATAGTCATACTCCTTTGCCACTTGATCTTGTGGTCAGTGAGATAGTGGCCAGAATTTCGAACCAATGGTTTTTACCGTGTCCAAATTTGGCAATTTTTCACAATTTTCTTTTTTGACTTTTGGAGAAGCTTTGACAGTTAGATATAGTAAACAAAGTGCAATGCTGTAAAATTATTTGGCAATTTTGACTGGCTTCTCAGTATTTTTTGAGATAACTTTTCCAGAAGTCCTCACTTTTTCAAAGTCACAAAACACGCAAAACGCTTCGAACATTAACAAATCTTCGGATTTCGACGCTTTCAAAAGTCATTTATGATTGTCCACTATTTTTACAGAGTGAGTGAGTGTTTACCGTTTCTAAATATAAAATTTCGCATTTTACGTGTACATCCTAGGCGGGTCCAAAATCAAGAATTATGCAAATTTTGTCGCCAAACTCCTCCCCCCCCCCCACAAATCGGGAAGCGAAATACTCAATAGAAAGAGGAGGAAAAGCTGCATCGAATGACATCTAGTTGTGCGCCGTTTTATGTTCTGTTCTTGGCATCACCAAAAGTGAAATCTGATAGCATCAGAAAAATAATTCTAAAGAATTTTTAAGGCTAGCTATAGATGCCAAAAAATTGCATTAGATTGCACTTTGTTTACTCTATCTACTGCTATCAAAGCTTCTCCAAAAGTCAAAAAAGAAGATTGTGAAAAATTGCCAAATTTGGACACGGTAAAAACCATGGGTTTGAAATTTCGCCCATTCTCTCACTGAGCACAAGATCAAGTGGCAAAAGAATATGACGGAAGAAAAGCTGCGTCGGATAGTGCCTGAAGCGTTTCCCTGCCTTTATTCCACGTGTTTTTATGATAGGTTGAAAAAACGGAAAGAACTTCCGGAACGACCTAATATTAAGAAATGGAGTATTCCAAAAACTGCTTGGATATATGCTCCGCAAATTTGAAATTACTCTTATCAAACTATGACATTGACTACAACGGTCATGTTACTAAGTACTTACCTTCATCTATTAGCCCCTGCAGGCAAGCAGTATACTTGCTATCTTCTAAGTACTTGGAAGACTTCTTCCATAGCTTCTAAAGCAAGGCATTGATATTGTATCGTATCGAAATTTTGAAGAGGTACCATAAGATAGTTGTGGTCGCTTGAACAAAAGTCAGTATTACAAGAGCATGAGAACATCTGATTACTTATGCTGCATTGATTCGGCATCTAAAATTGCATCATTATCTCATCCAAGAAAATCAGTGACAACATCCGATATCGACCATACCAATTTAACAACATACATTTGCTCACCAGCTAGAAATTGGGGAAGCGAGGAGAGGGAAGAATCGAGTCATTACATTATTATCTCTCCACTCATAAAGAATAGGCAGTTCGGAATAAAACTTTTGTGTGTAATTAGGCACCAAAATGTGCACACACATATTTTCAGCTCCGCCGAAGAACACAGGCCACTTTTCGCTTCGTCACTGAGCCTTTCATATTGTGTTGCTTAGTACATTCAAAGAAAAGAAAGCTCAAAAATCAATATTACCCTAATTTCATGAATATAAGACGCGAGTGGTTTTCTTCTTAAATCGAACTGCACGGACACGCCGAAGAACTTCGCGATCATAGAAATATGTGCAGTGCTGCATATTGCTTGAAAGTATCGTGCGGCACAAGTCTCGTTTTCCGAAATACAGCGAGGCGGCTAAGCGGCTCGCTTGAGAAATCGAAAAAGATGAGTCCTATTTTTGTGAAATTAGGGTAGCTCATTTCCCCATAATCTTGTAAACAGAAGTGGTAAAACTCATTTTAGTGCAAGGATTACGAGGGTGCGGTGAATCAAAGTGGAATTGTCTAGAGGGTCATAAAATGAATGGGGTGCGGCGGGAGTCCCACAGTTTAGTAACTCTGCTGTCGATTGATACAGCATTTACCCTCCATCCCAGTAAAAAATAGTCCGGACTGGAGGACCGAGGAAACCAGTTATTTATTATATTAGTTTGAACCGAAGTTCGTTCGCACCATATTCAAAAAATCAAAATCTTTCCGTCACAACAATTTTGCGCAATTCAAATTTTGTTAGTATGAAAAAACGAAAAAAAATGAAAAAACGAGATCATCCAAAATGAGGAATTTTTAAGGAAAAATTCTAAAAATCTAGAAACTGTGCAAAAAAATCCAGAACAGCCATCATCTTAAGTTTTCTTATAATTTATCAATAACTGAATCAAGTTTGGGCTGATCGAGCTCTTTTTTCGAAAGTTATGATTTTCTAGAAAAAATGCCAAAAAATCAATTTCCTAAGAATTCTTAAAAAATGGATTTTTCGGCTTTTTTTTTCAAAAAAAAATCATAACTTTCGAAAGAAGAGCTCGATCAGCCCAAACTTGATTCAGTTATTGATAAATTATAAGAAAACTTAAGATGATGGTTGTTCTGGATTTTTTTGCACAGTTTCTAGATTTTTAGAATTTTTGCTTGAAAATTCCGAATTTCGGATGGTCTCGTTTTTTTTATTTCTGTCTCTACAAACATGGGCATGTTGAAAACTTCTCGGGGGACTTTCGGAAACTACAGGCTTTACGCTTTCTAACAAAATTTGAATTGCGCAAAATTGTTGTGACGGAAAGAAGTCTTGATTTTTTGAAAATGGTGCGAACGAACTTTCGGTGCAACCTAATAGCTGTTCCAAAAGTGATTTCGCTTTGAACAAGCGCCAAGTTCAGGACACAGAACAATACTTTTCATGCTCTCCCAAGTAGTTGCATTTCAACTGTAGTTTAACCAATGAGTTTTCAGTAAATGTCCATAGTCTTTGCTATGGTCAATTTTCGCCAAATTTTTTCAAATTTTTTATTTCAACCCTGTTTTTCTTCCTGTAGCTCTCCATGATTTTTTTGACAAATATTTACCAAGACCACCTTATTTCAGTGAACCTATCTCAGACAATAAATCCTAAAATTTGGGAGAAACGATTTTGAAAGCAAGTTATAGAAGGAGAAAAATTTTGCATCCTGTAATGTTATTTCTAATCACCGGAATAATTGCATAATCAGCAACTTCCTTCAATCTTTATTCTACGAAATGTGGCGCTGTCTAAGAAAGCCGAAATTACCCTTTACATCTTATACGGTGAAGAAGCAAACACGCAAACAGTGAGCATATGGTGAAATAGGAAACATGCAAACTGTTAGCTTTACACACGCACTACAACAAAGTAATGTTACCAACTACCTCACAAACAGACCACTTGCCTAATTTTAGAAGATACCAGAAACTAACGAGAGAGAGTCAGGAGGTCGAAGTGGTCAATTACCACTGAAGGCATATCGTTGCAAAGAGCTTGAATTGTTGTTTTAGCATCTGTCTTCCTTACAAAACTCTTTTGGAGAAAAGCTAAAAGCGTTTTTTCTGCATTTTTTGAGCGACTGCAATCAATGGAAATTGTCACGAAATGCTTTATGCGCTACAGAATGACGCTCAAAAAATCCCTAGTCACTCAAACCGAAAAAGCTATTCCAAGTAGGTTTAAGCCCAGAACAGGGCGCTGTGAGAGGATGGCAAATGTGAGTCTGAAAATAGTTCTACTTAAAAAAGCCGGGATCATAGAAATTACACTCTCGCATGCATTTCAAACACTCTAGACACGTTCAGCCCCGTAATGGCCAGTTTTTTACGCCGCTAAGCTGTTTAAACATGATTACGTTCAAGACGCCATTTTGAAAGCTAACTTTCCTCGACAAGGTAAAAAAATGACTCGAGTAGGGCACATACATAAGAATGTGCTACCAAATTTGTGTATGAACGGACAAGGGCTAACAGGAACAAAAGATGCGGTAAGCTTGTTTTGAAATTTCCGCTCAAAAAATGAAAAAAATGACTCGTTTGCAACGCATAGATGCCGATATGGCGCGAAACTGTGTGTGTATACACGCAGTAGTACTAAGGAAGAAGGTCTGAAAATTTAGAAATGTCAATGTGAAAGAGAAGTGCCCAACTTTTTCAAAAATTAGGTGGGCAGTTGCCAAAATTGAAGGGTCAAAGTCAGAGCAAATGTCAAAAAAATCATTTGATGTGGAGGTTTTGCCCAACCTAAGTAGGCAAAACCTCCACATTATTTGATTTTCGAATTTTATCAAATTGTTTTACACTTGAAGTTTACGATATGATAGGTCTCAGAATTCTTCCTTTTCTCTTCGCTAGAATCCGTAATGGCAAACGTGTCGCTGGTTTAGAAGAAAAACGCACTTCAATTAAAGAGCCTAGTCAAAGGACAATCCTAAAATCAATGGCAATCAGTGGCATCCCTTTCACAGCGTTCCGTTTGCCAGCCCTTATGCCGGGCCGCTGGTTCAGAATGCTTATGTGTTGACAATTCTGGCTGCTCTCAGCCCTGCAAACTTCCTGCGAACGAAAGTCCTTAACTTCCTACCCAGAAGGGTTCTATATATAGGAGGTCTTCCAGTGCCGTGATCTTCCACTTTGATTTCGCGACCCTCCCTTGTGAAAAACTTGAAATTTTTATTGAAACTTGCCTGGCTATCAGTCGATAAAATCACAGGTTGACAAATTGTAAAGATTTGCATTATTAGACATCCGGGGTGCTTAATGATAATTTGTGGCTTTTTCGCGGATCCTAGCTCCTTAGCTACAGAAGGAGTGGCACTTTTATGAAATACTGGGGATTCAATTGAAGCGCTCCGCCTGGTCGCGAAAGTCGCTGAGTTTACGGTCATTGCACCCGCACTAAGCTTTCTTAGAAGGGAAGCCTGCAGGATCGAAGTGTCCAACTGAGTAGTGGAATAACTGAAACTGGGGGTTTGGGAGGTGGAGGGGGGAGGGGTGTCAGTAATGAAGTTGCACTCTAAGGGCCGCATGCATTAACATCTTCGCTGGGGGGAGGATCGTAGCTTAGAAAGAAAGCTTCACATCCTAAAGCTCCAGATATCTGGTCACGCTGTCTACCTATCAGTAAGTATTCCCACCATCCTTCACTTTGAACATATTGAACAGAAGCAAAAAGCTGTACAAGCCGCATTTTCCATCTTTTTGTTGGTCCCCTAAAGATCCCCGGCTGCCGACCATCTTTTATTCAAAATTTCCTTTCTTCAAAGTTAACGAAAACCTTCCAAAGTTGTACTATTCGTTTAACACAACAGTGCTAAGCATGTTGCTGATAAAAACAGATGAGTTTTTGGAAAACCGAATTTTTCGATGAACCCCAACACTCGACTTGTGTTCATCGAAAATTTCATGAGTTCGAAACGTCATTTGCTCTTACCAGCAGCAGGCTTAGTAGTGTTGAGTTAGATAATCAGTACAACTTTGGAGTAATCCAGATATCTGGAGCTTCGGGCTATGAAGCTTTCTTTTAAGCTGCGATCTCCTCCCAGGCGGGGGATGTTAAAGGCAGTGTCCGGGCAAAAACTCGATTTTGAGATTTTGTGCTTACTTGGGCGTATTCGCTACGCTGAATCCGAAAATGCATATTGTAGAGCGCGAAAATGGCGAAAAACGGCTCTAACACAGGAGGAAAATGAGCAGGTGGGCGGGGTCCTCCCCACCGCGAATTCACGTTCCCGGCTTCCGGAGCGACCTTCTCGCTTCCGGTTTCAAGTCAACCATTCGCATTTGGCCGGTAGCGATGTTAGAACGGCTAGCGGAATCGAAAAAATCGCTCCAGGAGCTGGGAGTGTGAAATCGCACTGGGGAAAGCCCCGCCCACCTGCTGATTTCCCTCCTATATTAGAGCCCTTTTTCGCCGTTTTCGCGCTTTCCAATGTGGATTTTCGGATTCAGCGCAGCGAATAGGCCCGGGTAAGCACAAAATCTCAAAATCGAGTTTTTGACCGGATACTGCCTTTAATGGCGGCCCTAAATCCACCGCACGAAGTTTCACCAAAATTGAGATTTTGAGTTTCTGGGGCCACTAAACTGGACTAGTACAGATACAGTATAGTCTGCGTGCTCGCGAAAGCTGGTGAGTTTGCGACCATTGCACACTCAGGATCCCACAAGGCCTGAAACCGGTCAATCCTCATACCTTTCAAAATCCATCCAGGTAATCGGAAGCTGACATCTGATGGCAGTAAAGCGTTTGAAAGGGAAGACAGCTGACAAGGGAAGTCTGCAGAATTGAGATGTGGTAAATACCCGGACTCAGAATTCGGAAGCTTAGTATCAAATATACGCCCTCTACTGCGAGCCTTATTTTGAAGCAAGTTATACCGCTTTAAAGTTTTTAGCGCATGCACGTCTAGGGTATGCATGACAACTGCAAACGTGGACGTAAGGTAAAAGATACTCGTCGACGACTGCCTCGATTCGTGCATTTACACCAACATGGGCGTGCCTTTCTGAAGCCTGTCTAGTTTGATAGTATACTGCAGCGCGCTGGGACTTGGTAGCTCGCAGCAACTGTACTTTTACTTCTTTTGTTGATTTAAGCACTTTATTAGGTTGTTACATAAGTCTTGCTACACTTTAACTTCTTACGGCGATAAGTTGTGCACTTCATATTCTTTACAGGGCTCCAAGACACCATTCGATAAAGCAAAGCAAGCATTACAAGATAGTCTGCAAAGGTCTGCACCAACTTCTACCCACTGTGCGTTTGCATCCAAAATCTGAGTCGGCCGAAAGCTCAAAAAATCGCGAAAAATTCATATCTTTGTTCAAAAAAATTCTACGAATCTCCAACTTGCTCATCAAAATTGCACACTACATCAGACACTGATATGTACCGTTGCTGTACTTTTTTCTCATCTAGAAATCTAAAAAACGAAAGTTCTCATGCCTATATAAAAAACAAGCTACGCTGTTTCTATTCATGTATCTGTATACTACAAGCCCACAAAAGTATAAACGTAAATTTTTAGCTTTTCAGAAGCCTTAGTTTTCGAGAATTACCTTATTTAGCGTTGAGCACCCGAGTGAAGTGCTAAATCCGTTTTTTTTTGAAAAACAGAGCTTTCGGGAAGCCGAAAATTTACAGCTACACTTTTAAGGGCTGGTAGTATACAGCTACATGAATAGAAGAGCATAGCTCTTTTTGTAAAAACAAGAAAATTTTCGTTTTCTCAATTTCTAGTTGAGAAAAAAATACAGCAATGATACATATGGGTTTCTGATGTGGTGTGTAATCTGCGTAAGCAACTTGGAGATCTGTAGGATTTTTTGAACTAAGTTGAACGAAGACATGAATTTTTCCTAGTTTTTTGAGCCTTCGATGTAACTCACATTCCGGATGCTAACTTATGGTGGGTCAGAGGTGGTGCGAACTTTTGCAGACTACCTTGCATAGCTTGTTTTGCTCTATCGAAGGGTACTCTGAAGCTCTATTAAAATTATAAAGTTCGCGACGTATCGTCGTAAGAAATTCAAGTGTAACAAGATATGTAACAACCTAATACATCGTTGTTTCTTCTTAGTTTTTGTATTTAAGTCAGTCATTCGTTTCCCCTTCCTCTTAAGTTCTCTCAAAGCTCAAATATACTAAGTTCTACTTTGATGAATACTGAAAGGTAAGGAAAATATTTGTCTAGGTACATTTCTAGAGTTCCCCCCCCCCCCTCCCCATTTTACCTACCAAACAATTACCAAACAATCTTTTTCAAAATCGTGAACCATCTCCCTGTGCTTTGTTCATAAACGGTGATGGCTATCATGGATTTTCCTTAAATGAGACCACACCAAAGTTTATTTCAGCTCTCCTACGAGGTGTCCCTGATGAAGGGATGCTGAAGTAGTCCTTCAATGGTCTGTCCCAGGGAAAATGCCAAGTCATACAAAACACTGAAGACATGCAATCCCAATCATAGCCACGATATCTACTACTGCAACTACGAAAAAGGTCGTTCTTTTCTCTAACTGTGCTCGCGGCGATGGTCTCACGTAGACATTAAAAGTGCCCGAAACGATAAGAAGAAAAAACATTGTAAGATGCTTAAATCAAAAAAGAAGTCAAAGGACAAGGAGGCTGCAAGCTACTAAGTCTGGCTGCAGTGTACTGTCAAGCTGGAAAGCCTTCAAAAAGGCACGCAAACGATGGTGTAGCACGAGTCGGGGCAGTCGTCGACGGATATCTTTTAATGGTCAGTTCGTCGGATTCACAGGTGACCGATGATGGTTCGAATACTGTTTCCGCGTTCTTTGCGTTCTTCTCAAATTCTATTTTTCACCTGATTCATGTACTTTTGGGGAAGAAGATACGTAATGAGTAATCTCCTCCAAATATATTGCCGTATCACTCTCACAAGGAGCATAATAATAATGAGAATCAGTAGCATGTAGTAATAAAGTTCAGAGATTCTCACGAGATACTACGTACATCGAAAAATGATGTGTGGAAGGAAGAATTTGGCCACTTGTGATTGTCCAAAAAATGTCCACGTAGAAAATTTGCAATCAACAAAGCGTTTATTGAAAAGTTAATATTGATCTTGGAAAATACATAATCTTTTTCAAAGGTTTATGCTTGTGAGAATCTGAGAATCTCATTCTTTTAGGAATTGATTTTGCCAAGAAGAAATTTTTGAAAAATCCCTATAATCTCTATAAAAATTTCTATAAAATCTGTCATTCTCTTTGTGTGAATGGCTGGCAGGTTTTATGATTGGAGGACCTTAACCACCTCTACGTGTCATCTTTCGCCCCAAAATTACACGGATCAGGTGAAAATAGAAATTGAGAAGAGCGCAAAAAAGCGGAGACTAACAAAATTCGAAAGCTTTTTGTAACTGAGACCGACAAACTAACCACTACACCATCCATGTTTACAGTAGTCTTGCATACTCTAGGCAAGCATGCGCCAATAAACCCGGGGAGCTACAACTTGCCTTAGAATAAGTTAATGGTCAGTTTCGGTGGCGTGCCGCCCGTTGGCAACAATGCTATGCTCAAGAATTTTGGCGCGCCGCTGGTCGGGAAAGTCCATGAACGCGCGCGCATCGGCGGCACTAATGTTTGAGTAGAGTACAAATCCAAAAAGATGTTCAATGTCTTTATGTGAAATGTGCAAGTTCACAAACCGGTTGTGCACCCCATGCAGGGCCCTCGGAGTAGTAACCCTCATCACAACGTTCCGTCATATAGAATGCACAATACAAACTCTTCATATTCTCCTGAATACAAAAAAGAAGACTTTTTCGTTAGCAGAAAAAAGTTAGTGGAATCCTTTGCTCCGTAAACTCACAGCCGCTTTCTCCTCCTGCGGTGAATATGTGCGGCACGTTACAGAAATCGTAAATGGTAACAATGCAAGAATGGTGAAAACATCTAAAAATTGCCGCATCTTATCTCCAAGTTGCTAAAAGCATTATCCGTGTAAGTGGCAACATACTGAACGTTATGGTAGTGCTCATGATAGTGCGAGTCAAATAATTGAACCACACTACATTTGCATTACTTCTTCACAGTTAATTATGATAAACATGTTGCTGATGAGACAGATCAACCAGCTTGCACTAAAGTCGACTAGATCATCTTAATGATCAGTGCCTATCGCTCAGCTGCTGTCCAGTCGCTTCTTCACCTATTTGCTAAGAGAACTTCGTGCCCAACTCACTGAGCTTTATTCCCCCCCCCCCGTTGCTACGCTAACAGCTCGTTAATCATGGCTTGTTTGCGCAACTTGCGGCAAAAATGCGGCACCCTACAATATGCTGTTTTTACAAGCAAGTTGATCGTAGCTCGCTTCAGTAACCGCGTGTCCATCGAGTGACTCAGAATCACACTGAGTTCGCCAAAACCGCATCTGCAATGATCGGCATAATAGCACGGAGTTTGCCTTCTCCGCTGTGTTATTCGCTGAGAGTTTCTGGCTTTTGCCTTGAGACCTAAAAAAGTCGCGCAATCCCGAGTCCTTACAGCCTGTTACATTACCTGCATGATATGGTGTGCGAAGAATTGATGCGATGCGACCAAATTTTTGCGCGAAGAATTATAATGGTTTTGATACCGCACTTTTGCGGACAGATTTGTCATGAAGGGGCTATCTGGTTCACACGCATATTTAATCGCCCATTCTTGGCAAGGCAATCACACTATATTAAACTAGAACAAACTATCTGTCAGACTGTAAATTTTGTTTATCTTTCCAACATATTGACGACTATATTTGAAGAAAGCTCACGGAGGAGTTTATCCCGGGATAGCGGTCATCCTACAAAAACCAAACCTTGCACATGGTGTGTCATGTGGTCCCACGTAGTAGTCATTGCTTGACATACCACGTGTGTCAAACGGTCGTCATGGATTCTTTAGGCCCCGGACAGACTTCACGCGATTTGATCGTCGCGACTGAATCGCGACGAGACAACTGTTACAACATCATTCCATGCCGATCAACTTGCATTTCGGCTGTGATACTTTTCCAGCCCGAAATTTTTGAATGTGAAATGAAAATGAATGGAAATGTCGGCGATTGAGTCGCGACGATCAAATCGCGTGAAGTCTGTCCGGGGCCTTACATATTTTTTTCAGATCATCAAAGCTATAAAGTCGAAGTAGGTCAAAAAAGCATTGAGGGCTGCATTAGTCGAAAGAACAATCAAAAATTTATGGCAATTTTTGAATGAAGTCGCTTATGGAGTAGACGCTAAACCTTACCAGTTTGGACCTCTATATGCCGATAAGCAGAACCGGTGTTTCGAAAGGCTGCAGTAAACCAAGTCACTTGCACATCTGTACGGCGGACTGACCTTCAGAAGAGTGCGTCTAACCCTATTAACTTTATCTAAACAGGGAACGAATTTGGTAATCCCGGCCATTTATAATGGTTTGTATATCAAAAAATGCGCCTTTCAATGCTGATTCAAATACTGTCTTCCCTATCTGCAAAACGAGAACCTGGATGGAGTTATGATTATTTTTTCAAAAATGAATTGCACTACTGCGGAGGGTGAAAATCATTGATAGAAGCTTTCCTTTGCTATTCAATTGCTGAATATGGTTCAGATGGGTGTAAATACAGTGTAATACCTTTCAACATTCTCAAAAGCTTTAAATGGTAGAATGGATCGAGTTGGGTGAATTTTAACTACCTACGAGTTCGCAAATTTTCTACGAAGTTTATAACTGCCTTCAAATAATCGTTCGCAGATTTCGAGCACAGAAATCAGCGTTTCAAGATGCACCTTATGGTATACATCGCCTTTCACATGGCCAGGGTAACCAAGTATCGTTCCCTTGTAAGGAATAGCTTTTCCATAGTTTTTTATATCAATCGCTAGAGCAAACCTAGTAAGTTCTAGGTGAGGCGTTCAAGCTAGCTTCGAATTTTCTTGACTTTGCGGGTCTTTGGGGCTAGGTTACATTGAGGCAGCACTTTTGAATCCATTACTTGAAAGCGACACGAGATGTCATCTCTGACAATAGACGACAAGAAACAATATTTTATTACTAGGAAAAAGTTGACTATTTTGTTCTTACAACAAGTTGATCAGATTGAAAATTGTGCGCTTTTCTAACTTCAAAATACACTCAAAAGTATAGCACGACATATTTCATAGAGTTCAAGAGGTGATTTGACCATGAAATTACGAGCATTTCACATCTTCCACAGTACCCTTTTGGTAAGCTTACGGTGAGTGTTAGCGTGCTATTACACACTATATTATCCGTCCTTCTAGGTATGTGCATATAAATCTAGACAAGAGAAGTGTTTTTATTCGAAGTTTTAACCGGGAGACAGACTCCTCGCCTCCACAAAGCAGCACTCCTATCCCTAGGTAGGTGTGGGAGAGGCGGGTTTGGATCCTCTCTCGGAGCCTTTCTAGCTGCAGATAGTTGAGCTCAACTAGATCCAGCGAGTATATCAGTGGTGAACGCAAGTGATAGCTCCATCAATCTTAGAAGAGCCACCGGTAAGGAGCGCCAGCGTGGATGAGGTTTGGCTGCCGAAAATGAGACGACAATAAAGACGATTTGTATTTACAACGCACGCACATCCGCATCGGACGCATCCGTCGAATACCAGTTGACTGCACATAAGGAAGATCAGATACGATGGACCAAGACAAGAAGGTCGTCCGACACCCCATTCCCACGTTTAAGGGGGAGGAAAATTGTTCCGAGAACATGCGACAACAGAGGAGTTGGCGACATGGAAGTTTTTGTCAGCACGAATTCGGCCAACATCGATTCTTTCAGCTAACAACCTGAATTGCGCCTTTACGAATATCGAGACGTGGATCAATCCCAGCCTGCAATGAATCATTGCCTACGTCCCTACACTGAGCTACGACAAGGACAGACTTGAGGAAATCATTGTCGCACTATATCTTAGTGAAACAGGGTAGACACGGAAAAAGTGAATAGGGGGCATTTGATAAAGCAAAAACTGTGCAATATGGGTTATGAACACAAACACATCCGCTTCCGCAAGCTCTGTTCCACCTGAAGTCTGAAGCCAAAACTTGAGAAATAGGAATACTCAAGAAATCGAAGCTCTGTCTGTAAAATCTCTAGTGATCTCCAGTTTGCCCATGCATGTACTCTGCATTAGAAGTTCATGCAGTTTGTGGAGAGAGTTTTTCCATAATTAGCAAGGGTGTTGCGTCAGCAAGTTAGGAATCCTTTAGATTTGTTTGAGCTTACTATTAGATTTTTTTCCGATTTCAAAAGCATACGAGCCTTGAAATTTTGGCTTCAAACTTCACGTAGGTCGAATTTTGCGAGCATTCGAGCTTTATCTTATGTGGCTTCCATTGCTCTACCGAACAGCACCCCATTCACTTTTATTCGTGTCGATCACCTCGCAACATGAATGATAGCCGATAATTTGACATTACTATCCGAACAACCTAATATATGGACTTGGAAAAGTTCTACAGAAAAGAGAAACCCTTTTACAAGATCATCGTCGGTGATTTCAACGAAGATCTGAGCAAGCAAGATGTTTTGCGAGCTACTTCGGAATTATAAACTAGGTTGTAACGAACAGGAAGAGAGACTGTTCGAGTATAACAGAAAACAAAGGACCATTCATGTAAACTTACAGTACCTGAGGATCGCCCGGAGGAGAGTATCATTGACCACACCATCATCAACAGGAGATGTAAAATGTAAAATGTAAAATGTGTGGTGAAGAATATATTGGAGAAACAGGAAGACCGTTGTGCCTAAGAATAAACGAACACTTGGATGGAATGCGAAAATCGCGAGTGTCCACGCCTTTAGGCCTAAGGCATACCTCACGCGATTTGGCCAAATCGCCACTTTCACGCGACTTGGCGATTTGCCAGATTTCTACGAATTTATCATGCGCGCTTCTCGAAAGCATAGGCGGGTAGTTTGTGTAAGTTGTAGCAAATGGGTTGAGATCTGACTAAAGGAAACACATTGAAGACGAATTACAGAGAGTCGCTGTTGTGCCAAATCGCGCAGCGATAGGAATCGCGCGAGGTAGGCCTTAGGCCTTAGGCGCACATCGAAAACTTTCCCACCAGAACATCGCGTTTGACATCAGCATATCTGTTCTTTCCAAGGAAACGAATATTGCCGCGCGAAAAGCCATAGAGGCTTGTTGGATATCATGCAGATGTCCTAAACTAAACAGGAAAGGAGAAAGGGTTGCCGTCAGCAATGAACTCGCCCCTTTCCTACAAATGTGTGGATTCGAGTCTGACCATACAAGGAAAGTTCATTCCATCACACTAAACGGCGAGTAGTGGTCTGACACGTTGCCAGAGTGGTGGGCGTACCCTACACAGTATTGTTGAAGGTATGTCTACCCTTGGAGTGAATTACTGCACGCGTTGACTCGCTTCCAGGTCTTGAAGAAGGCGATCTTCGCCGAAACGTAGACCGTACTGATTGCTAACTGTTACTGGCAATAAAGGAAGAACTATCAATCTTGGAAAGCTTAACATCATATATCGTAAATGACACTATGCCAAGATTCAGAAATAGTCGAACGTGGAATAGCTTTTCCATTGTTTTTATATCAATCGTTAGAGCAAACCTAGTAAGTTCTAGGTGAGGCGTTCAAGCTAGCTTCGAATTTTCTTGACTTTGCGGGTCTTTGGGGCCAGGTTACATTGGGGCAGCAGTTTTTAATCCATTATTTGAAAGCGACACGAGATGTCATCTCTGACAATAGACGACAAGAAACAATATTTTATTACTAGGAAAAAGTTGACTATTTTGTCCTTACAACAAGTTGATCAGATTGAAAATTGTGCGCTTTTCTAACTTCAAAATACACTGAAAAGTATACCACGACATATTTCATAGAGTGCAAGAGGTGATTTGACATTGCACTTACGAACATTCACATCTTCCACAGGATCCTTTTGGTAAGATTACGGTGAGTGCAGAATAAGTGATCGAGATGCAATGCTAGAGCCGCTTATAGAGATTGCTTCAGGATGCTACTTACATACTATATTATCCGCCCTTCTAGGTATGTGTAAATAGATCTAAACAAGAAAAGTTTTTTTATTCAAAGCTTTAACCGGGAGACAGACTCCTCGCCTCCACAAAAGCAGCACCCCTATCCCTGGATAAGTGTGGGAGAGGCGGGTTTGAAGTTGCCCCTCTCAGACCCTTTCTAGCTGCAGATATTTTGAGATTAACTAGTTCCTGCGAATATATCAACGGTGAACGCAAGTGATAGCTCCATCAATTTTAGAAGAGCCACCGGTAAGGAACGCCAGTGTGGATGAGGTTTGGCTGCCGAAAATGAGACGACAATAAAGACGATTTGTATTTACAACGCACGCACATCCGCATCGGACGCATCCGTCGAATACCAGTTGACTGCACATAAGGAAGATCAGATACGATGGACCAAGACAAGAAGGTCGTCCGACACCCCATTCCCACGTTTAAGGGGGAGGAAAATTGTTCCGAGAACATGCGACAACAGAGGAGTTGGCGACATGGAAGTTTTTGTCAGCACGAATTCGGCCAACATCGATTCTTTCAGCTAACAACCTGAATTGCGCCTTTACGAATATCGAGACGTGGATCAATCCCAGCCTGCAATGAATCATTGCCTACGACCCTACACTGAGCTACGACAAGGACAGACTTGAGGAAATCATTGTCGCACTATATCTTAGTGCAACAGGGTAGACACGGAAAAAGTGAATAGGGGGCATTTGATAAAGCAAAAACTGTGCAATATGGGTTATGAACACAAACACATCCGCATTCGCAAGCTCTGTTCCACCTGAAGTCTGAAGCCAAAACTTGAGAAATAGGAATACTCAAGAAATTGAAGCTCTGTCTGTAAAATCTCTAGTGATTTCCAGTTTGCCCATGCATGTACTCTACATTAGAAGTTCATGCAGTTTGTGGATAGAGTTTTTCCATAATTAGCAAGGGTGTTGCGTCAGCAAGTTAGGAATCCTTTAGATTTGTTTGAGCTTACTATTAGATTCTTTTTTCCGATTTCAAAAGCATACGAGCCTTGAAATTTTGGCTTCAAACTTCACGTAGGTCAAATTTTGCGAGCATTCGAGCTTTATCTTATGTGGCTTCCATTGCTCTACCGAACAGCACCCCATTCACTTTTATTCGTGTCGATCACCTCGCAACATGAATGATAGCCGATAATTTGACATTACTATCCTAACAACCTAATATATATATACCTTCCTCACAGCCGTGCCATTTCTTCGCCAGATATCGTAAAGGTCATGCCATAAGCATGACCTGCTGTGATATGAGTGTGTTTATTGTCTAGATGCATGTTAAGTTACTTTGCTCCGCCTGTTATTCCTAGCATTCTCCACTGCACGAATGGGTGCATGTCGTCTGTTCAGTAAAGCTCTAAGAGCTTACGTGAATAACATATCAGGAGCCACCATACTCCACCAGGGCCCAGCAAAAGGGTGGCAAATGAACATTGGTACAACGACTTCGCCTTTGCCACTTCGATTTTCACGATTTCCCACATGATTTCCAACTGCGTAGGTTGCTCGATTGGAGCGCGCTTTCTTCTTTCAAAGAACCGGCGTTGTTGCTATTTTTAATTTTAACACGTTTCGGAGCGCGAAAGCGCGCGCAGCGAAAAGAAGGGTATTTCCAGCCATTAGCCAACAAAGGGACCTTAATTCGTAGATTGTGTGCTACATCTGTAATCAGCTTGTTAGATAAGATCCATAGCCAAAGTTCTGAGTGAATTCGAAGGGTTTGAATTTTGTCGTCTGAGAGACTTCTGTGCTTTCTTGAAAGATAGGAACAAGAACTCAGTTTCTAATTGTATCCAAAAGTACCTATGTTGTACACGATATACATCATTGTTGAAATTATGGTTTTCTCTTTGTATTCAAAGCTAAGGAAAGTTGCGACTTTGCACGCGTCGTTCGCGCTGCCGCATTTCGTTGCAACTGATGTTCGTGGCCTCATATCTCCTGAGCAAATATCGATGGCACAGCTCTATAGACCCTTTCGAAAAGGAGAAGCTTAGGCCTTTGACTTGATAACCTCGGACAAAAAGAAAACCTCCGCTAAACATTGAAAGGATCCTTCAAAGGCGCGTGCTGCACCATGTGCAGCATCGGTCCGAAACGTGTTAAAAAGGAGGAAGGGAGGAGTTTTGGAAGCAAAATGTTACTATATACCAAACTTAAGGTGTAGAACAGATTTACGTAGAAATTTTGAGAAAATTATGTAAACTGAAAGTTTTGCCTACTTCAGGTGGGCAATTGCCCACCTAATTTGGGAAGAAGTTGGAAGCGCTTTTCATTCACATAAATTTTCATAATTTTTGATAATTTGTTCCTTAGTCCTACTACACGTATACACACCAAATCTCGAACGATTTCGTCATTTTTGCGTTGCAAGCGAGCCATTTTTCCATTTTTTGGTAGCGGAAAATTTTGAAAAAATCTTGCCGCATCCTTCAGTCACATAATTTTTCAATGGAACTTCTCAATTAACCCCTGCGCCCTTGTTTATGCACGAGAGCAAATATGATGATTTTTTTCTTACACATAGGCGACAGTAAGTCTGGCACATCTTCAAACCTCTAATACATTGGAGCACACTAAACAAAGCATTATTCTCTCTGCCATTCGCTAGAACGATGTAAAACAGCAGAAAACAGGTGGAGAACAGATTTATGTTCAGGATGTTGTTCAGGATATATATATATATTTGTTTCAGGATATTCCAACTGCCGATTAAGTCAAAAAGCGTTTGCGAATTTTGAAAACATTGAGAGTGATATTATAATATTTGAGAAAGATGTTCACACGTGACTTACCAAAGCTGTCTTAGATACTAGTGCGATCTACTGGATTTACAAGAACGAAGTAGTTTCAAACTGTTGTTTCTAGGCAGAAGTGTCTATGCAACACTGATGATCAACTTCTGCGGAGTAAATAGATGCTTTACTCTCACATCTTTCGGTTAACGGTCGGAACAGCCTTCCAGTTTTTAGACATTTTGTTGATTTCTGCTAAGTTTTCCCTCTGCTTGAAGATTCCGAGACAGGGCTCGGCACGAGGTGGCTAGATGAAAATGCAAAAAACGAAGTCCCCCTTGACTTTTGGGTTTTTTTTACGAAGTCCCCTTTGACCCCCCACCATATTCCCTAAATTTCCTCCAAAAAACGAAACGTCGACTAAAAAAAGCGCCGCCAATCTTTGCGTGTCTTCGTCCACAAAAACGAAACCCCCTTTGCTTTTTGTCCTAAAAACGATACCCAGCTTGCTTGTAAAGCCACCTGTGCCGAGCCCTGTTCCGAGAGTAGCAAGGAGAAAAAAAAACGGTGAAATTCGTACCTCTGCAGGATGTAACCGTGAGTTTATGAGACTGCTGTACTTGTGGCCTATAATTTTTAGAAGGATTAAATTAGTTGTTTGCAATCAGCTGTAAACTTTTAAGAAAATTTCTATATCAGTTATGAAGTTGATGATGAAGTTTTTCGCTTGCTTGTTTATGATCATAGTAATCAGTGAATAAACTGCACCGCGAATTTGCACTCAAATTCCAAAACTTCACTTCAAATTGCTTCCGTTTCAAAGTTACGAAATCTGTCATAATGAAAAATTTTGATGTAACAACTTCCATGCTGAAACTGCTTTATTGTGCAAAAATTACAAAATTCATGCACAAAATAGGAGACATTCGTAAATGTGCTTTGCAAGCATACATGTTCAATGTCTTATTTTTTAGAAAGGATTACGGCATTTGCACACGGCTTCACATCTTGATCCTAAGAATCCCTGCAATATCACATGAAAAATACTTAAAACATTTGCAGCAAATTGCTTATGACATCCTTATTCGAGAAAACACGAAATTTCTTAGTGTACAGCATTTCGCTCATGGTACCCTAACTTAATCAAAATGTTGCTCCTGCCCTAGTGCAAAAAGGTGGAGTACATTTTGAATGCACAAAGGGGAGAGGTTGCAAAAGTTAGTAGTATAGAGAACATAACTACCGTAAACCAGTGAATGTGGTTACTGCAGGTACTATGCTCAAATTAGAGCAGGGTAAGACCACTTCTTCGCAGTGGCAGATCGAACGGGTGGAGAAACGAACACCTCAATTAGACACCGTCTATGCAGGCAACTGGTACCAAAACGATGCACAACAGTAGGACGAAAGGACCAGCAGCTCGCGGAGGCGGTGCCTATTTAAGGTGTTCCTTCCTATTCAGATCACACCACTGACACTAACGGTCGTTTGCATGTATAATAGAACTGCGCAGGCCAATAGTTTTTTGCTTGTGAATTCTGAGAACTATCCAATTTTTATAACAACTCAAAATTGTAAAATTTTAACGTGGGCTCGCCAAGGCTTTTTTTATCGGAATCTCGGAGTTAAATCTCAAAAAAGTCGAAAATCATTTGATAAATTTTCTCTTTAATCTAAAAATCTGCCGCGGCAACTCGAGATGTCATGATGGCGACCTGGCATACGATCGGAAAGTTCATACCAAGTGTTACCTCCACTTCAGACTTTCGCCCTCTCGTCTCTATCGTCTTCACATTCTCCACTACTGCTGGGAGAGGAAGGAGGGTGGGAGGACACGGACTTTTTATGCAATACTGCCAGGTCATCATGACTTTCTGGCAATATACAGGATGCTAATACTATAACACAATAAACTCATCTGGAACATCTCAAAGTTTATACTGGTGAGAATAAATTTGTGGTATGCCTCGTATAAATTGGGCTTTCGGATGCGAAGATTTGCGAACCTATCCGAACTGGAATTTCATAACGTAGACGTGAGGTGCGAAACTTCCCACCTCTCCGCAGAAACTCGTACCTACGTCGCGGAATGCTCATCGTTTAAAAAATTCGCTCGCTTCCAGTATTACACTTTTGATGTCATTACCGCCTAGTTTTTCTGGTCAAATCTGCAGAACGCAAATTTATGTTTTCTTACCTCTTCCAGACACCTTCTTCCGCACCCGCACTTGGGCTGAACACATTTGCCCATATTTATAGTTATGCTCTTTTCGCCTACGGTTATCTTTTCGGCACTTGTTGTAAAGATGGGAAATAGCAGAAAACTAATCAGGAATAGAATCATGTTCGTAGAAAGCGAAGTGCTTTTCTTCACAGGCTGCGAAGTTCTAGAATTTGCAGTGGGCACAAGCTCTGTTTTCTTATACAGCTAGTTTTATTTGAGTATTCAGAACAAATTTATCTCCCGCTTTCCTGGTAAAATGGCATTTTTTATGGTTTTGTAACAACAAACAATATATCAGTTTTATGTCTATCAAATGCTGGTTTGTCTCACAAAGCGGATTATAGATGATTGTGAATTTTTTGTTGAAGAAACTAACTTCTTCTTCTTCTTCTTTATCTTCGCCATTGTCCCGCGGGTGCAGGGTCGGCGGTGGTGCATTTTTGCTTCCATTTGACTCGATCAGCTGCTTCTTGTGGTTTGAGCTTTGCAACGTGCAGGTCGTTTCGAATGGTGTCCAACCAGCGTTGCTTCGGACGGCCACGTGGTCTCTTCCCCTGTGGATCTAGACGAAGTGCTGTTTTTGCTACTGTATTATCTTCACTTCGTAAAACATGACCATACCATCGTAATCTGGCACCTCGCATCTTATCCGCGATAGGTGCAACTCCAAAAATGTGTCGTACATCATCGTTCGTGACGCAGTTTCTTCTCGTTAGGCCAAGTATCCATCTTATCATTCGCGTCTCCATCGTGCTCAGGATCTGCTCGTGTTTTCTTGTTGCTGGCCAACATTCGGCTCCATACATTGCGACTGGCCTCACCACAGTCCGATACACTTTCGACTTGAGATACAACGGGATTCGTCGGTCGCAGAGTACTCCTGTTACTTGCCGCCATTTTAGCCACGCCGCGTTCGTCCTAGCACGAGCATCAGTGATCGTGTCGCAGTCCGACGTCACTCGGAAGCCCAGGTATTTGAATGTCGTGACCTTCTTCAGCGGCTGCCCATCGATGCTAATTGTGCCATCGGTTTGCTCTCCGCATTCCAGGTACTCGGTCTTAGCTACGTTCAGTCGTAGGCCATATTCCGCTAGTCGTGTCTTCCATCTCACTGTCGCCTCTTCAAGCTCTTGTCTCGATCCGCTTGCTAGCTCGACGTCGTCTGCGTAAAGGAGCGTCCACGGATGCGGCAGCTGGATGTCCTTGGTCACCGTGTCCATGCACAGTATAAAGAGAAGCGGTGATAGAGCCGATCCTTGGTGTACTCCGACTTGGATTGGGAATGGCGTTGACGTTCCCACTGCACAGCGTATGACGCCCGTCGTGTTCGTATAGAGGAGTTTGATCCAGCGAACGTACTCTTCTGGGACGTCGTGTTGTCTCAGCGCATACCAGATCAGCCCGTGTGGTATCCGATCAAATGCCTTTTCTAAATCCAGGAATGCGAAATGAATCGGAATCCGTTTCTCCAAGTGCCTTTCCATTAGCAATCGTACCGCATGGATGGCGTTGATGGTTCCAGATCCTTTTACAAAGCCGCATTGATTCGGGGTGACCTCCACTACACTTCGAATGCGTGCGTCGATGACTCGTTCGAAGATCTTCATCGTGTGGCATAGCAAGCGTATTGGTCGATATGTTGAACAGTCGCTGACGTCGCCCTTTTCCTTCCAGATAGGGACTGTAACACTCGTATTCCAGATTCGCGGCAACTGTCCGTCTACGATAATGCGGTTAAAGAGCGATGTGAGATATGCCGCTCCACGCTGCCCCATCATCTTCCACACTTCAGCAGGTATGTCGTCGGGTCCCGGAGCTTTTCCGCTAGACATCTTCCTCAGTGCCTGCACAACTTCTGCTTCCTCGATCCGAGATACCGGTCCAAGTGTGGGGGCTCCTTGCGGTACTAACGGGTGCGGGAACTCTTCATTGAATAGCCCTTTGTAGTACTCACTCCACCGCTTGAGTATTGCCCTCGGCTTCGTCAGGAGGTTGCCCTCTGCGTCCTTAATGTGCATGACGTGGTCGATGTCCTGCTTCGCTCGATGTCGTGCAGCGGCCAGTCGGTAGACCTTGTTCGCTCCAGCAGGTCCTTCCAGCTCGTCGTAAAGTCTCTTGTAGTGTGCTTCCTTTGCTTCGGCTACCGCGTGCTTCGCCTTCGAGTTCTGTTCTCGATACCGACGGAGGTCTTCATTTGAGTGTGAGCGTTGCCAGGCTTTGAAAGCTTCTTTCTTCTCCTTGATCACTTGCTGGACTGACTCAGACCACCACCAGATCTGCTTGTCTACAAACCGGCGTCCTGGCTTGGTGGTTCCCAAAATTGTCTCGGCCGTCGATCGTATCTGCGAAGTAATCCGATTCCATTGCTCTTCAATCGACTCCTTATCATCCGTCGACACCCTCAAACCGTTAAAAGCATCTCTGACTTGCTGGCGATGTTCGGCGAGCTTCCACCATTTGATCCTCTTCGTAGTCGTCCTTCTGGCTCGTGAACGTAAGTGGATGTTCAGTCGAAGATCCAATACGAGCAACCGGTGTTGTGGCGCAAATGCATGTGTCGCCATGGGTATAACCTTCGCATTCATCACCATCGGCAAGTGGCATCGGCGCAGCATCCAGTAGTCGATCTGAGTTGAGCGGTCTCCACTCGCGTACGTGATCAAATGTGACTCCCGCTTCTTGAAAAATGTATTCGCTATCGCCAAGTCGTGTGCTTCTGCTGCTTCCAGGATGCGTTCTCCATCTTCATTCCTCTGACCATATCCGTTTCCACCATGGTATCGTTTGAATCCATAGTGTTCGTGGCCAACGTGCCCATTGAGATCGCCTCCCACGAAGATGTAGTCTGCAGCGTCGAATGTCCTTAGCAGGATGTCGAAGTCCCTCCAAAACACGTCCTTCTCGGCTTCGGTACATGCGGCTTGCGGGGCATAACACGAGACTATTCGAAGCGTGGCATCATCTGCTTCGATCTTCATCGCCATCAATCTATCTGAGATGCGCGTCACTTCGGTCACTAGTTCGCGGTATCTACTGCTGACGATGATCGCGACTCCGTTCTGGCGGCTGCTATCTCCCGTGTAGTATAAGCGATATCCGTCGCCGATGTCCTTAGCCTGCCTCCCTTTCCATTTCGTTTCCTGTACACATGCGATGTCGACGTGTCGCTACTTCAGCCTATCGCATAGCTCCCGACTGCGGCTCGTCAGCGTTCCTATATTAATCGTCGCTAGTCGGATTTCCTGGACTCGCTTCTTTGGCCTGCCTCGTCCGGGGGCAGGTAGCCCTAGCTCACTATTCGCGCCATGCGGGCAATGACACGCGTCGCCTCCGGGGGACGCCCTAGCAGCTTGACAAAAATCCTTAATAGTCCGATGCATGTGACACGACTGATTCGTACAGTCCCCGGCGCGTCGCTCCGCCTGACGGGACAGTGCCCTCGTCGTTTGCCGGGGTTGATCCCCGTTGCCAGCCGGCACCGCGGGGAGGTGACGATGGGACTTTGCCGGCCTTGAAGAAACTAACTATGAGAGGTTAATATGTTCTTCAAGTTACCCAAAAACGACCCTCTCTAGGTGGTTGTTAGCAGTTTATATGGTAGTTGTGCTTCATAAAAAGGAATTGAAGTTGATAAGATAAATAAATCGGTTATAACATAAAAGAAAGCTTACATATACATACGAATATATACGTCACGAATTGACCGGACTTCTCAAACAAGTGTATATCAGTGGCGCACCCAGGACTTCCGCTCGGGGGGGGGGATTTTTTTTTACAAGGCTAATCTGAATTTTTAAAGATTTTTAAAAATTATTTCAATTATTTACAAAAATAAACAAGTCACTTGCACACTTTTATAACCCATATAAGTAAATTTCAAAAATTTCGCGACCCCTTCTCGGGTACATCAAACTATGAGGGTCCTGCAGGTGTAATTTTAGAAGTTTTTCCAAGTTTTAAAGTGAACTCACCAAACCCATTGACGATGATGAGGAACACCGGTAGCTTACGCACTTTCTGCTGCCATAAACGATGTTAAACACTGGTGGCTCACACCTGTGGCAGAGGTTTCCTTTCCAGGTCACAGGATGTTTCCAGTTTTTTTGCACTAGGAACAGTCTATGAGGCTTTCGTGACCTGTAGACTGTTCGTTTGCAAGATTTACAGATGTTTACAAAACAACCTTACATTTTTTGAATAAGAACTAAAGGTTTCCACAACAAAATGTTGTGCAATATCGCGTCGTCTCACAGCGCCGCCAGGCGTAATCAGGCGTCGTCGTCAGTGCTTAATGCCTGGTGGAGAAATTGGTTTGCACTCTTTATCGAAGTTATAAAAAGTCGCACTTTTTTTGTTTCCGGCCTCAAACTCACATCAAATCAGTCGTGCATTGTTAGTCTAGCCAACATCTTTGTTATCTTTGCATAGCGTCATGACAAGTACGATTTATTTTATTTGTATTCTTCGGTGTTTACAAGTGGAGTAATACAGTTGTTTTGGGAGTTAATGTGTAGAAAAATAGCTGATCCGTCAGCTCTGTTTGAGTTCCGTGTAATGAATTAATGCAGGTCCCACTGATTACAATATGTTCTAACTGCAAAACTTGACACCGTCGACCATTAATCATGAACTCTTTTCCAAGTAAAACGCATGTTGAAAGGATAGATAAGATAGAATAGTTCGTTTTGTACTAAGAAGCGACATTAAAACGGTCAGGTTTTTTTTCGTTTTAAATGTAGCGTCCCAAGTGCTAGAAAAATATGTGTAGTCATGTCTTTACATAAGAATTTGATGATAGCAGTTCATACTATATCTGCTGCACTAGATGGTGCACGTCCATATTTATAATGCGAATGTACTTGATTCTATTCTCAACGCATAACACTTGTTCTGGCGATCGCTATTTCCAGCAAACGAGAAGCACGCCATCACCCATAAAAGTGAAAACATTGAAGCGAAGCGGCAGATATCAAGTTGTCGACCGCTTTAACATGACTGTGTGCAAAAAGATTGGAACGTCTCACCATCATAGTCTCCACGTTGTAGGGCACACAAAAGACGTAGAAGAAAATTCTGAAATTTTCCCATAGATAATTTATACAAGAAAAAAAGATTTTTGGACTTTATATGTAATAACACGCCATATGCAGGCTTCAATGTCAAAATATCAAATGAACGTAATATCGTAACGTTCCTCAAAAACAGAATTGAAATCGT